CATCTTTAATAAATAAATATGTATCTGTCTGAAAAAATGTATTTCCAGGCTGTAAAAAAAGAAATAGCATGAGGCAAAAGCTATAATAAATTGGGGAAGGCAACTAGTAGCAAAAATAAAGACAATGAGAGCAGGCATAAAAAGTCACCTCCCAGTGCTCATCCATTATGTCATTTAACTGGGTTTAATGAGGATGTTACTACAACTCTGGCCCCAATATCATGGCGTCCAGCAGGGCCTGACAGGAGGGTACCTGGGGTGTTTCCTGATTAGCAGCTCGTGACAGGGACAAGAGAACAAGGGGAATGGTGCTATCCCCTGATATCTGACCAGCACTTTATGTTTTAAAAAGTGTTTTTACAGCTATTGTTTTATTTTTTCCCCGCACAACCACCTTGTGAAGAAGGTAGGATAGCTATTATCTTTCTTTCACAAATAAGCCACTTGTTATTTGGCTTCTAAAGCATATCTAAGCTCTAATTAAAGTTTCACAACATTAATTAGTGTTTAGAGAGGTATCAATCAGTGCATCCAATTTACAACATGATTCAAAAACTTGGGGAAAAAGCAGACTGCCTCATCCCCACACCCCAAAGAGATACGGCTATTTTCCTAACCAACGATCACCATTTACTTCCTAGTTGGCTATGAGAGAACAGTCAAGAGCAATTTATGATGCTCTTATCTCCTTAACAAAAGACATTAGAGCACTGTTAGCAGTACCATAATAACATGTTTTTTGTTTTTTGCTTTAGAGGTAGGGTCTGGCTCTGTCACCCAGGCTGGAGTGCAGTGGTACCATCATAACTCACTGCAGCCTCAAACTCCTGGGCTCAAGCAATCCTCCCACTTCAGCCTCCTGAGTAGCTGGGACTACAGGTGCATGCCACTATGCCTGGCTAATTAAAAAAAAAATTTTTTCTTTTTGGTAGAGCTAGACTCTTGCTATGTTGCCCACACCGATCTCGAACTCCTGGCCCCAAGCAATCCTCCCTCCTCGGCCTTCCAAAATGTTGGGATTACAGGTATGAGCCATGCCATCTGGCCTAAAATGTTTTAAATTAAAGAAAACAATACTGTACTGATCAAGAGAAGTAGGATGGAGGATCTGGTGAAAAAGAGAGAACACTATGAGGAATGACTGATATTGATGGGCTGATGGTAAGGAAGGGCAGGGGGTGCAATCCGGAAGGGGTACACAGGTAGGGCTGCGCACAAAAGTAGAACACCATTAAACTGAATTTTAGATAAACAACGAACACTTTTTTAGTATTTTTTTTTCTGGCAACTGTGTACACAGACTTCAACTTTCCTTAGAATGTACAATCCTTGAGGGCAGAAATTTTTGCCTCTTTTGTTCACTGCTGTATCCCCAGTACCTAAAACAGCACATAGTAGGTGCTCATGTATATCTGGCCTATATTAATAAGGTTTATTTCTTAAGCTAAGTAGTGTGTACAAAGGTGCTTGTTATATAACTTTCACACATTATGTATGTCTGAAATGTGGCATAATACGTTTTACAAATTACAGCATTAATGAATAGCTCGTTTTAAAAGCAGTTTCTTTTACCTAACCTCACTGAAGGACTCCAATGGGAAGTCAGAGTATAAAAGGTTGTGAATCACCCCTTACACCCCATTTAAATGTTACATGGGGATGTCAACTTGAGATGATCAGTCGTCAGATGTATTTTGTGCCAAGGGCATGGTTTGGCCTTTCCCAGAGGCTCCTCTTTGGCTTGTTTTATTACTATTTCCATAGTCTTATTTTATTAAGACTATGGAAAGTGCTTCCTTTGCCACTGCCCTGACTCCATCATCACATGAAATTTCCCCTCATGCTCTATGGAGCCCGAGCAGCAATTTTCGGAAATTGAAAAAACATATAATTTACTCCACATCTAAAACTCCTACTAAACCCAAACAGCTTATCCTTTCTTCATAGGAGACCAGTAATTGGCCCTCACTAGCTGCCATGAAGCCCTTTTTATCTCACCTTCATCTAGGCTCTCTAAATGTTATTTACATGCACAGAAGTGTATTTATAACCCGCATCTCTTACATTGAGTATTTTTTTAAACATCGGAGAGGTATTTCTTTTGTAATACAAAGTGGGAAAAGGTAAAGGAATGATTTTTATAAACATATTCTCAACCATGTGAAATATATAACATTTGAAGACTATATAAAAAATAGGAAGACATTTATTTCTAGGTGGTATTATCATCAGTAATTCTTGCTTTTGTTTTGTTTTGTTTTCAGACAATACGACACTTTTAAATTTTCAGCTGGGTGCGGTGGCTCATGCCTGTAATCCCAGCACTTTGGGAGGCCGAGGTGGGCAGATCACCTGAGGTCACGAGTTCAACACCAGCCTGGTAAGCATGGTGAAACCTCATCTCTACTAAAAATACAAAAATTGGCCAGGCGTGATGGCATGGGCCTATAATCCCAGCTACTTGGGAAGCTGAGGCACAAGAATCGCTTGAACCCAGGAGGCAGAGGTTGCAGTGAGCCGATATCGCGCCACTGCACTCCAGCCTGGGTGACAGAGCGAGACTCCATCTCAAAAAAAAAAAAATTTTTTTTTCTATGAGTGTCATATATATGGTATACACACATTTGTGTTTGTATATACATATATGTACGGATGCGTATTACTGTGTGTGAATATACATATACAGACACATACACATATATATATGTTTGTGTATATATTACTGTTTATGGTTGAGTCTCTAATTAGATTTGCTTACAGACGTACAGGGGTCATGGTGACTAGAATAAGTAAAACATCTCCCCCTGCACAGTCCAGATACCTGTCTGCAGTAACAATTCATACTCTGACACCCTGAAAGTCACAAATCAGAGTGCTTTCTTTTGCTTTCCACCTCAATGCCTAGACCTGTTAGGCAGGATACCAGGTGGGAAGGAAAAGTTATAGCTTGCTTGATTATTAGATCTCAGGAACAAAGAAAAAAGGTAAGTACAGAACAAACCAAGTTGGAAAGGAATTAGTGGGGTATGTATTTAAACCTATGAAGAAAAGATTTTGCCCAAGGCACCAGAAGAAGGTTGAGGTCTTGAGGCACCAACAATCGTAAACACCTCTTCTCCTGAGCATGTGAATGGAAGCAAATGGAGGGCAAGGGAGGAAACCACATCATCAGAGGGAATTGAAACCCACCCACTATACTTGAAATTTCATCTTTCAATTTCCTCTCTCATCAAATATTTTACTAGAGAAAGCCATCATAATTCTGATTTATTTATTTATTATTTTTCTGCTATGGAGTCTCACTCTGTCACCTAGGCTGGAGGGCAGTGGTGCAATCTGGGCCCACTGCAACCTCTGCCTACCAGGTTCCAGCCATTCCTGTCTTAGCCTCCTAAGTAGCTGAGATTACAGGCATGCGCCACCATGTCTGGCTAATTTTTGTATTTTTGTAGAGATGGGGGTTTCGTCCTGTTGGCCAGGCTGGTCTTGAACTACTGACTTTGGGTGATCCATCGCCCTTGGCTTCCCCAAGTGCTGGGATTACAGGTGTGAGCCACCACCCATAATTCTGATTTTTCTTACTTCATTTAGGTAAGTCCCTGAACTTCTCTGTGACATTACATAGGAATGATGATGACAGTAAAATAATAGCTTAATCTCATTAGATTATTGTGAGGATTAAGTATGAAAATGCAGGCAAAGCATTTTAGGCACTATGGTGCATATTAAGTGTTTAATGAATGTTAGATGTTATCATTCATGTCTTTATTATTGATAGTAGTCCCACAGCAGAATCTACAAAAGTCTCAAGAAGCTGGGCAGTGAAAAGGTCAAAAATGGAATGGACAGGGAAAGATCAGTCATCCCAGAACAAACAACTGAGTTTATCTGGGTTTGGGTTACAGTGTTCTACCCAGAGGAGATACTTGCAGCTGAGACTGCTAGAATAAAAAGTCACATTCATGGGCTGAGAATGCCCACTTTAGAGGTCATTTCCTGCTGTTGTCTTCAAAAGTGCTTTACGGCTTACATAGCTCCCGTAAGTGTTTCTGGTGCGCTCACTGGTCCTAAACCGGCAGGTGGATATACTTACCGATGGTTTACATGTGGAGAAATAGCCCTGCCCAATATTTCATGGTTGGTGCTGGAACTAGGACTCAAATTCAGGTTTCCTGGCTCCAATTCTACACTTGCTCCAGTATATAATGTTGTCATTTGAAGGTGTTCAGAGCGAGCAGAGGTAGGACTCTGAAGTCAGACGCTCAGAAAAAATTTCTGCATAGACGATTACTGTTCTCACTCATTCAGCTATCTGGCAGATAACTCAAAAAAGAAATCAACACTCGGCATGCCATTTTGGGCAGGTTGTCCCCATGGTGATGTGTCTCTTAGGAGGATCTTCTCTGCGTTTCGTGTATAGATTTCTCCCAAATCTCACAGGAGCAATATTGGAACAGAAAGTGAAACTATATAAATTTCTAATACAACCAAAATAAGAATTCAAATACAGGTCTTTATGATTCATAATATGGTTGTTGCATATTCCTCATAGAATCACTTTACAGAATATATACTTCTCTTCCCCGCTTTCTCTTTGTTTAGTAACATCAAACAAAAGCTGCTTGGGAGTGGATACTAGGAATTGGTTTTAAGCATCCAAACTAATTTCCTCTCTCCTCATTCAATCCCTCAGAAAGAAGTACAAGAGGAGTATACATTACATTTGCATCAGCATTAAGGATTTAAATTTGTCTTTCAACACTTCAGCAGAATTGACTTAGGTAATAATTTACTCAACTGATTTCAGTGCAAGACTCTAAGATAAAAGCAAATTTTCTGAGAGTAAAACAAAACAAAACCAACTTCAATGGATAGAAAATTGCTTTGAAACCCTAGTTATCTAGGCAACTTGCTATTATCCGTTCATTATTAAAGAGAATAAAAAATTAGTTTGGGGAAAGACATACATTTAACACACACACTCCAGAGCACAGGGTTACCTGAGGCGCTGCCGTTAACCTTTGTGGTATGAGCCATGCTGGCTTGAGCCCAATGATAGATCCACAAAGGAGTGAGGAGTCATGCAAATTTTATGCATCAAGTTCTCAAAGGCATTCAACCTGAAACAATAAAGAGAGTCCCATCAAAATGGATCATTTAAAAATATGTACAACACTAAATCTTAGACTTCTGTTTACAAAGATGACTGCTAACAGAGAAAGCAAATCAGAATGGGGGAAGAAAGACTGTAGATCCAGGAGGTGACTGCGCTGGACCTGGCAGTATGGAGATAACACCCATGGATGTACCAGTGGCTACATACTGAAAGGAGGTCTCTACACATAATATTCTATGGGAAACAAAATTGGTTCTCTAGAAATGTGACTATTTTAGGAAAGTGGTCACCAAATACAAATGACCTCCTAATGTGTAGCGCTCTACAAAATATTTTTGTTTTTTAAGCATGTCTTCCTTTCCAAATTCTGGTTCAAAAGGTTCATTTATTCAACTGCATTTCAAAGCAATTATTGCACCAAATGTTTACATTTTTAAAAAGATTAACTTTATGGAAATTCTTTTGAGATATCTGAAGTCTTTCTACCAACGCCTCTTTCTTACATGCAACCAGCTTTCTAAAGCACAAATCTGATCCAGTCAGTCCTCCTCCTCTTAAAACAAACAAACAAAAATTCATTATCTCCCACTGTGCTGTTGGATAAACTTCAAATTGTTACAGGCATTCGAACCAGAGTAACTCCATCTTGAATAGGGGCTAGATAAAATAAGGCTGAGACCTTTATTTTAAGTCTACATTCCCAGGAGGTTAGGCATTCTTAGTCACAGGATGAGATAGGTCAGCACAAAATACAGGTCACAAAGACCTTGCTGATAAGCAGGTTGTGGTAAAGAAGCCGGCCAAAACCCACCAAAGCCAAGATGGTGATGAAAGTGATCTCTGGTCATTCTCACTGCTCATTATACACTAATTAGAATGCATTAGCATGCTAAAAAACACTCCCACCAGTACCAGGACAGTTTAAAAATGCCATGGCAATGTCAGGAAGTTATCCTATATGGTCTAAAAAGCGGAGGACCCCTCAGTTCCAGGAACTGCCCACCCTTTCCTGCAAAACTCACGAATAATCCACCTCTTGTTTAGCATATAATCAAGAAGTAACTGTAAGTATAATCAGTTAAGCAGCACATGCTCCTGCTCTGCCTATGGAGTAGCCATTCTTTATTTCTTTACTTTCTTAATAAACTTGCTTTCACTTTACTCTACGGATTCGCCTCTTATTCCTTCTTGTGAGAGATCCAAGATCTTGTAGTCTGGATGAGGACCCCTTTCCAGTAACAAAATGATAGAGCACGGCACATAGTTTTGAAACACTGGGGTCCACACTGGGCAATATATTCATTTTATATTGATATTTCTATTTAAAAGTTACCTGAGATTACCATAATAAGACTTATATTTCAAAATTTAAAACAAAAAAAGAAAAAAAAGGAAAAAAAACACTGTTTCCCCTTTGGTTTTTCCAAATACCATCTGAAAAATACTAGCAAACAGTAAACAATAGTATATATAGAAATTCCATTTCCATAGTGCTCAAACTCTGACTCTAGACCCATGAAATCAGAAGAACTTGCGTGAAACAAATTCTAAGTTGAGAACTGAAGTGTCAATTCAGAAACCCACATGACCTCCTAGCAACAGGATGCTAAAATAATATCCATATACACTAATTCTAATGCAGCCATTGAAATCATGTAAGTTTTTAATAAGGTAAAATATTCAAAGTATGTTGGTTAAAAGAAAAACAAAACTGTATACTATCCTAAACCTAATTTTATTAAAAATACGTATGTGTGTTTGTACATATTTAATTTAAACAATGAGAAGTAAATGTACCAAAACGTTCACTGTGGTTGCCTCTGGGTGATGAAATCATGGATTTTAGCTCTTTTCTTATTTTTGTAATAATAATTATTAAAAATAAATATTTAGGCCGGACGCGGTGGCTCACACCGGTAATCCCAGCACTTTGGGAAGCTGACGCGGGCGGATCACCTGAGGTCAGAGTTTGAGACCAGCCTGGCCAACACAGCAAAACCTCGTCTCTACTAAAAAATACAAAAATTAGCCAGGCTTGGTGGTGTATGCCTGTAATCCCATCTACTTGGGAGGCTGAGGCACCAGAACCACTTGAACCTGGGGGGGCAGAGGTTGTGGTGAGCTGAGACTGCACCACTGCACCCCAGCCTGGGTGACAGAATGAGACTGTCTCAAAAAATAAAAATAAAATATAAATATTTAGACCCTTTCTGTCAATGTTGTTTTGTTTTAAAAACCTCAGGGAAAAGAAAGGGTATTTTAAAAAATACTATGCAAAAAAGGAAACTATCAGGCTACAATCATGAAGTACAGGGGTCGGAAATATAAGTAAATAAAAAAGGAAGGAAAAGGAAATGGCTGATTGCTTTGATCACACAGGGTGAGAATTTCTTGCCACTTAGCTAGTGAAATTTTCCTCATTGTTTAAATGGGTTTGCACCACAGTTCAAAGCTAACTACCGTGAAAGCAACTCAGGGTAAACTGAAAAGGAATCTTTTTTTCTCTCTCTTTTTTTTTTTTTTCTTTTTTAAACAGATTGCTTCTGACAAGCCTGCCCCCCACATGGCTTTTCCAGCTACAGTGACTAGCACTGTGTTCACCCGAAGAGAGGAGATTCTAAACTGTCCACTCCCTGCTGATCCTTAGTTTCTGGCTGGTGGCACACCAGGACAGGATGGCTTCAAGCTCCCTGATGAAGGGGTGATCACCTGACTTTCTCTTGGAAACAGAGGCACTGGTTCAGGTCCACAACATTGAACTTGGAGAGCAATAACCTTTGTGTGCACAGTCATTGGTGGCTGAATCAAAAGGCAGGCTTTAGGGATAGAGTAAATACTGTCTTTTAAGAATAGGAGTGAACGTCTATAAATTTCTGACAAACGCAGTTTTATTTAAAAAAAAAAAAAAAAAAAAAAAAAGTGGAGACTGGGAAGACCAGAGAGGGAGGCGGTAGGGAAATAAAGGGGCAAAGGAAAGCAGCCCAGTTTCTGGAATTATTCAACTAAGCATACTTTTAAAAGCTAATAACCACAAAACCCTAAGCCAAACCCTGTTTACAGGCCCCCTCCTAGCCTTGTGCGTTTGCACTCTTGCTCCATAACTGCTTGTAAATACCACCATGTAAAACCTTGAAGGCAAACAGAAGACAAGAAGGGACAAGCTGCATGTGCTGGGGGTGAATGAAGTATGTGTCAAGGTATTTAGATGGAGATGTGCCCAGAATCTTCCTAGTCAAGTTTAATAAACTTTGGCCCAAGGTCCTGTCCCGCTATTGAAACTCTTTCATTGGGCAGATCTTTTTCTCAGATCCAATTTGGTGCCTCCCACCCTTCCCCAAACTGAACAATAAAACCAAAATAAGTAGGAAACCTAAAATTAGGAACTATAAGCATATCACTGGTAAAATAACAAGACACTGTAGGCCGGGCACAGTGGCTCATGCCTGTAATCCCAGCACTTTGGGAGGCTGAGATGGGTGGATCTCCTGAGGCCAGGAGTTCAAGACCAACCTGGCCAACATGGCAAAACCCCATCTCTACTACAACTACAAAAATTAGCTGCGTTTGGTGGTGCACGCCTGTGATCCCAGCTACTTGGGAGGCTGAGGCACAAGAATCACCTGAACAGGGAGGCAGAGACTGCAGTGAGCCAAGATCATGCCACTGCATTCCAGCCTGCACAGCAGAGTGAGACCCTGTCTCAAAAAAAAAAAAAAAAAAAAAAAAGACACTGTCACTGGGTGTGGATCCTGGCAGTGTCTGTGCAAAGAGAACGGCTGTATATTGTGCATTGATTTTTCTCAGTTATTGTTCATGCTGACAGGTGGCCTCAAATTGTTGAGGGCTCATTCTTCTTAATGCTATGCAGATTCTTATGCCGGTACCTCGTATAAACCAGAAAAGGTTTGGCCACAGTCCATTCCTGTGTTACAGATCGATAAACTGCTTCTTTTCTCCCTCAGAGGAGAGTGCAAACCAGTAAATCTTAAGTAGTACAATGGTGGCTTAGTTCTCCTAGCTAAGAAAAAAGCACTCCTGTGAAAGGATTTAGGAAAATACATCAACAGAGAAAATAAAGAATTTGTCTTCGTCTATATTTTGGGAGACTGAATGAAGGATGCTGATGCATGTTTTAGTAGATCACCAAGTAAGGTACAATGAATGACGGAAACATTGCATGAGCTGACCCCATAAATACTTTACATTAGCTAAAATGATACAAATATGAAAAATAACACACTAGAACTTTGCTAAAAAGACACCAATGCAAACAAGTAGTCATATAAAATTGAGATTTGATACATACTCTGCACTGCTAAACTATCAAATGCCACTATCTCAGCTAGAAACAAGATAATGCTGATGATATTGATGGTAATGTTGATGGCAGGTAATGTTAATAGACCTCTTACTACTATTATTGAAATACAAAATGTCACCTAAAGTGTATCATTAAGTACTACTAATAAAAAAGATGTCACTTAGATGACAAAATGCTAATCAAGAAATTACATTCATTATAAGACACATCCTCAATTCAGAGGCGATATGAGAAAAATGTGTATCTTACAACTGATGAAACTGTTACATTCAAGGGACTTTTAAACACACTTAACAGTTATTACCTTGTTTAAACTTCACAACAACCCTACAAAGTACTACCCCTTCTCTCCATTGTATACATATGAAACAAGCACAGGGAGTTTTAGAACTTGCTCACATCCCACAGCTAGTATGACAGCACTGACATTTAAAACTGTGCAATTCAGCCCTAGAGTTTTGTGATTATGTGATTTAGAGTAAGGGCACTACGGTTTTAACAAATGAGAACTTAGGGTATAAATGAGTGATGCATATACGTAAGGTAGTCACCTTAGTTACGTATATGATTACTGCAAGGAGGCTTTGCGCAAATCCTTTTTAGATAAGAAAGCTGCATCTTGGAATTTCACTTTTTTTTTTTTTTCTTTTTTGAGATGGAATCTTGCTCTGTTGCCCAGGCTG